AGAAAGCTAGAAATAGAAATACCATATGATCCAGCAATCCCACTGCTAGGAATATATCCTAGAGAAATAAGAGCTGTCACATGAATAGACATATGCACACCCATGTTCACTGAAGCACTGTTAACAATAGCAAAAAGATGTAAACAACCTAGGTGCCCATCAACAGACAAACGGATAAACAAATTATGGTATGTATACACAATGGAGTATTATGCAATGATAAAGAACAATGATGAATCTGTGAAGCATCTCATAACACGAATGAAACTGGAGGACATTATGCTGAGTGAAATAAGTCAATCACAAAAGGACAAATATTGTATGAGACTTCTACTGTAAAAACTCAAGAAAAAGTTCACACAAAGAAGAAACAATCTTTGTTGGTTACCAGGGATGGGTGGGGGGGTGGATACTAAATAGACAATAGATAAGTGGTAACTTCGGTGAAGGGTAAGACAGTACACAATACTGGGGAAGCCAAGACAACTTGTACCATGAAAGGTCATGGAAGCTCTATAGACACATCTAAACTCCCTCACGGACTGAATTGCTGGGCGGACAGCTGTGGGGACCATGGTTTCCAGGAACATCCAGCTCAATTGGCATAACACAGTTTATAAAGAAAATGTTCTACATTCTGCCATGGTGAGTAGCGTTTGGGGTCTTAAAAGCCTGTGAGCAGCCATCTAAGATATTCCATTTGTCTCACCCCTTCGGCAACAAGGGAGAATGAAGAAAACAAGATACAAGGGAAAAATTAGCCCAAGGACTAATGGACCACAACTACCATGGCCTCCACTGGACAGAGTCCAGTACAACTAGATGGTGCCCAGCTACCACCACTGAGTACTCAGACCAGGATCACAACAGAGGGTCTGGGACAGAGCTGGAGAAAAATGTAGAACAAAATTCTATCTCACAAAAAAAAGACCAGACTTACTGGTCTAACAGAGACTGGAGAAACCCCGGCCACCCTTTTAGCTCAGTAATGAAGTCACTCCCAAGGTTCACTCTTCAGCCAAAGATTAGACAGCCCCATAAAACAAAACGAGACTACTGGGGCACAACAGTCCAGGGACAAGGACTAGAAGGCAGGAGGGGAAAGGAAAGCTGGTAATAAGGAACCCAGTGTTGAGAAGGGACAGTGTTGACATGTCGTGGGGTTGTTAAAATATGTGTACTAACTGATGAGAAACTATTTGTTCTGTAAACCTTAAAGTACAATAAAAAAAGTTAAAAAAAAAAAAAAAAAGAATTTACTAAGCACTTGTTTAACTTATAACAAGTTATTAGAAATAGTGGGGATATAAAGCTAGAAGAGACAGGGCCATCCCTGCTCTCAAGGGTCTTATACGGAACTTGAAAAGCCTGTCTCCAGGATCAGAGCTGTTTTATGACCTCATATCCTCTACCCAGTGGATGACAGAGTTCAGGGAGGAAGTCTCCACCAACTCCAATCCTCCTCCAAAGGGCTCATTTCAAGTACAGTCAAGGCTGCCAAATCTCTTCCCCATCTTCCACAGCCACCCAGTTTTCCTCTAATAAGATAACATGAAGAGATGCTTTAGTGCTTGCAGTAATTTGGTGATGAGATTGAATATTTTTCTTAAAAATGTTTTTTAAAAAAGATACTTGTGAATGGATATAAAGTTTTTTTGTTTGTTTGTTTTAAGTTCTAACTTAGTACTTACAATTTTATAACTCCCTCTGAGCACTTGGAACAATGCTGCTGGCTGCTCTTGTCTTGTTTATGTTGACTCTGCCCCAGCTGAACAAATCTACAAATGGCAATGGATAAAAGTAAGCCACAGAAGAAACTACTTGGAATAAATTCAGTAGATCCTAGAAAAATGGTATGAGCTTTCAAATAACAATGATATGCTTATTTCAGAAAAGCACAATACCACAAGCTATCCAAGAAGCACAGGACACGTGACTGAATGGTTCTATCTTTCTGTGGTCTTCATCTATAAAGGGGGTAGAATAATACCTTTTCAGTCTACTTCAGGGCTATTTATAGAGATCAAATAAAATGATACATTTGGAAGCACCCTGTAAAGTGTTACACAAATGAGAGGATATTCAAAATATTAAACACAGAATCTTATTCCAGGACCTGGATTCCTTCCTCCCCTGCTGCAATCCCTTCCCTTCCAAACTGCCATTGCACAATCCTCAGACTGTCCACTTCCCAAGGATGTGTGACTGAACAAGGCTGTATCCTGGTATTTCCCTCACTTCCTGAGAAGGGAGAACTAGAAACGGGCCTCAGAGACATTCTGGAGCCAAAAGGCTCCAGGTGAATGTCATGCCTGATGCAAGGGATACTTTCTTTTTTGCTTAACCTGAGCCAAAGTTTCAGTCCTTGAAATGTACACTCACATTCTCTGCAATAAGCAGTTATATTATCCAGTCATTTGTTGTTGTTGTTGTTAGCTGCTGTCAAGTCAACCTTCAACTCATGGTAACCCCATACACAATAAAACAAAATGCTGCCCAGTCCTGCACCATCCCCATGATGAGCTGTGGATTGGATCATCATGATTCACATGGTTTTCACTTACTGATTTTCCAAGTATATCACAAGGCCTTTCTTCCTAGTGTATCTTAGTCTAGAAGTTTCACTGAAACCTGTTCAGCATCATAGCAACACGTGGCCTCCACTGACAGGGGGGTGGTGGTTGCACATGAGGTGCATTGGCTGAGAATCCAACCCAACTCTTCTGCGTGGAAGGCAAGAGTTCTACCACTGAACCACCAATGCCCCCATCCAGTCATTAAAAAACAAAAACCAGTTGCATGTTGAGTCAATTCTGACTTACGGTGACCCTGTGTGTGCAGAGTAGAACCGCACTCCATAGGGTTTCAAAGTTGTGACTGCACTCCATAGGGTTTCAAGGCAGATCACCAGGCCTTTCTTCCAAGACATCTTAAGGTGGGTTCAAACTGCCAACCTTTTGGTTAGTACCCAAGTGCTTAACGGTTTGCACCACCCAGGGATTCCATCTAGTCATTGTTGTTGTTAGGTGCCCTCAAGTTGGTTCCAACTCACAGCAACCCTATGTACGACAGAACAAAACACTGCCTGGTCCTGTGCCATCCTCACAATCGTTGCTATGTTTGGACCCACTGTTGCAGCCACTCTGTCAATCCATCTCATTGAGGGTCTTCCTCTCTTTCGATGACCCTCTACCAAGCATGATCTTTCTCCAGGGACTGGTCCCTCATGATAACATGTCCAAAGTATGTGAGACAGAGTCTCACCATCCTCCCTCTAAGGAGCATTCTGGCTGCACTTCTTCCAAGATAAATTTGTTTGTTCTTCTGGCAGTCCATGGTATATTCAATATTCTTCGCCAATATCTTAATTCAAAGACATCAATTTTTATTCCTTCTTCCTCATTCATTGTCCCACTTTCACATGCATATGAAGCAACTGAAAATATCATGGCTTGGGTCATGTGCTCCTTAGTCCTCAAAGTGACATCTTTGGTTTTTAATACTTTAAAGAGGTCTTTTGCAGCACATTTGCCCAATGCAATATGTCATTTGATTTTGTGACTGCTGCTTCCATGGGCACTGATTGTGGATCCAAGTAAAATGAAATCCTTGACAACTTCAATATTTTCTCTGTTTATCATGTTACTTATTGGTCCACTTGTGAGGATTTTTGTTTTCTTTATGTTGAGGTGTAATCCATACTGAAGGTTGTAGTCTTTGATCTTCATCAGTAAGTACTTCAAGTCTTCTTCACTTTCAGCAAGCAAGGTTGTGTCATCTGCATATCGCAGGCGGTTAATGAGTCTTTGTCCAACCCTGATACTGAGTTCTTCTTCATATAGTCCAGGTTCTCAGATTATTTTTTTAGTATACAGACTGAATAAGTATGGTGAAAGGATACAACCCTGACACACATTCTTCCTGACTTTAAACCACGCAGAATCTCCTTGTTCTGTTCGAATGACCGCCTCTTGATCTATGTACAGGTTCCTCATGAGCAAAATTAAGCGTTCTGGAATTCCCATTCTTTGCAATGTTATGCATAATTTTTTATGGTCCATGCAGTTGAATGCCTTTGCATAGTCAATGAAACACAGGTAAACATTTTTCTGGTATTCTCTGCTTTCAGCCAATATCCATCTGACATGAGCAATGATATCCCTCATTCCATGTCCTCTTCTGACTCTGGTTGAATTTCTGGCAGTTCCCTGTTGATGTACTGCTGTAACTGCTTTTGAATGATCCAGCAAAATTTTGCTTGTGTGTGATATTAATGATATTGTTTAATAATTTCCACATTCTGTTGGATCATCTTTCTTTGGAATGGGCACAAATATGGATCTCTTCCAGTCATCTGGCCAGGTAACTGTCTTCCAGATTTCTTGGCATAGATGAGTAAGCACTTCCAGCCCTGCATCCGTTTGTTGAAACATCTCAATTGGTAGTCTGTCAATTCCTGGAGGCTTGTTCTTCGCCAGTGCCTTCAGTGCAGCTTGGACTTCTTCCTTCAGTACCATCAGTTTTTGATCATATGCTACCTCTTGAAATGGCTGAACTTTGACCAGTTCTTTTTGCTACAGTGACTCTGGGTATTCCTTCCATCTTCTTTTGATGCTTCCTGTCATTCGATATTTTATCCATAGAATCCTTCATTGCTGCAACTCGAGGCTTGAATTTTTTCTTCAGTTCTTTCAGCTTGAGAAATGCCAATCCAGACATTAACCCTACAGAATTCATTCTTCCTGACCATGTTGCTTATAAAGGTCCATTTCAACTACTTAAGAGTTTAACTACAGGGTTCTGACAGCTGTGATGAATCAACAACTGTGTGTCTGTGTGTCCAGGAGTGAGAAGGCTGTGGCTGAGTTCTGAATGGCTACATTTGCTTCTGGTAAGTTCCATATTCCGTGACTGTGTTTGCTTCTGGTAAGACAGTGATGCATATTCACAAGAGTGAAAGTTATGAAAGCTGCTCTTGCAGTCAAGAAATGCTGTGTATTTTATACTTTACATTATTATAGAGATCTGGTTAGTTTGAAGTAAAAAGCTAACAATACCCAGTTCAATGGATTCTGCAAATGAAATACCACCCTGCAAAAAACCAAATTTATGTACATTAAGTGGAAATGTGCTCACACAGTGATTAAGTCCTGAATGCTTGCATGACGTCGAGGGGGTGTTTACAGTGGTCTTGTCAGGTTCTTGAAGATTTCTGGGTGAAGGATATTTTTGAGAATCTGATAACTGCTATGAATCTTCTTCTCAGAAAAATGCACATACACACAAAATTATGTCTAGAATTTCAGGGGATGCCTTTTGGTGGATCCCCTCCTTTTAGCTATACCTGCCTGATAAAGGTCTATATCATTCTGAATTGGCATCTTTATATCACTACTTTCTTTTTCTTCCTCAACCACCACTCCCACTAGCACCCCTGAGCTTCAATAAATGCCTTGTCTTCGATCTTCACTATCCCTAATTAATTTTATAAAAAGGTACCTTGATCCTGAGGATTTGTTAATGCAGGAATCACTGTATTGTACTTCAGTTTGCAGCTTATATACGAGCACTAAAAGTGTATGCATCATAATTTCTTATCATTGGGGTACAGAGTCTCAGGCACCAGGCCCTTTAATTCAGAATAGAAATCAACGTTTTGGAATCTGACCTTCTAAATGCTACTAGCATGTTCCAAGTAGAATCCATTTCCTTCTGTATTATTGACTATTACCATTTTTTAAAAGTCACATCAGATATGTCACTGTAATAATTAATTTGCATTTTTTCTTTAATGTCCACAGAAAAGTACCTTACCTTGAATAAATGGAGAGGTCATCTTCTGAGAGGCCATCTGAGAGGTTAATTCCATAAACCTCTTTCATGGGCTGGACTACATTCTGGGGTAAAAAAAAAAAAGAAACCAGGAAGAATTTTTAGACATCTAGCACATTAATAATTTCCAAAGATGAAGAAAATGAACCTATAAATTTTTCCATAAGAGCAATCACAATTTTTCTTCAACCTCTTCATTAAACTTCTCAGGTACTGGTTAAAAAAAAAATCTGATTTCCATTTCTACTGAAATAACTTATTTTAGGGTAAAAAACTTGTTAAATAATTATTAGCTGCTTTTGTATAGCACAAGAGTTGGCAAACTTTTTCTGTAAAGGGCCAGATAGCAAATATTATAGGCTTTTGGGGCCATACCATCTCTGTTACAACTACTCAACTATGCTGTTATAGTGTAAAATCAGCCATATACAATGTAAACAAATAGACACCGCTGCCTTCCAACAACACTTTATTTTAAAAAACAGGCAGCAGGCCTGATTTGGCCCAAGGTCATAGTTTGCCAGCTCCTGGTATAATGGATTCAGTTTCAGTTGTTGTATTATGACATTTTATTTGCCATATCTACTTCTAAATGACTTTTGGCTATTTCTATAAATCAAATTTTCCCAAGGCTAGTTTTGGTCTTTTGTTGTTTACTTACTTTTTGTTTTCTCTTATTAGTATGTCAAACTGAACAGGGTGAACTTCCCACTGGGACTATTCAAAGACTGTGAGGCCCAAACCCTGCATTCCCACAATGTGTGAGCAAAGGGATAAACGAACAACACCTCAAGAGGACAAGCTTCTCTTAAAATTCTGAAGTGATAAGAAATTGAACATTATACCTGAGGGCAAAAACCTCAATTTAATTTCAAAATGAAACCATTTTCAATAATGTCTACGCTAAATGTATTCATCCTATGCAGTGCCTCAAACCCCACACATCGAAATGCTGTGAGTCAGATATGTGGCGTTTTCTTGCTCTCAGCCTCACTGAAAACAGAATCTTAAAGACCATCTCCAGAGCCTCGTGCTGGACTGCACAAGCTCCCCTCCCCCCGCACCTCCATCACTTTGGCACTGTCTCCCGTGTCGGTCATCTTCACTGGAGTGGAGCGCTGAGACACTGAGCCCTCATCTTCCCGGTCAGTCCCAGAGTCATCCTCAGAGCTGCTGGACACAGCCTCCTCGCTGGGAGGTGGTGGGGCACTGGCTGCTGTTTTCCGCTGTAATACAGCTTCTTCTCTATTGCTTTTGTTTCTTTAAAAAGATAAATATGAATGTGAAGCAGCTTTAAACTGAACCCTCAACACTCACCGTGTAATACTCTGTCCCAAAGCCTTCGTCATACTGAAGCATAAGAAAATGACTGTGAGAAGCTAGTTTCTGGGTTCAAGTTGTGCTAAAGGGAAAAGCTTAATATGTCACCATGTACATGTACTGACCTTATGTGAATTTAAGTCCTGTTATGAATTCAGAAAATAAACAGAATGTACTTGCAGAATGCATAAAAGTCTTCTTACCATTTGGCTACAGTACCTTCCTTTGGTAGATAAAATGAGTATTTCCAAAATTTATGGTACAGTAATAGATGATTTATGTGTTTGAGATATTAGTAAAACTACTTATACCTTATATAAGCTTCAAGAAATCCATACACATTTCCATCTGTCCTGTGAATTTCTATCACTTAAAGGGTCTCTCAGGTGATTATTTGTACTAAAATAATGAGCAACTGGTGAACACAGACTAAATTTTAAAATTTATTGTGTTACTAGTCAATAACTGTATTTGTGGAAGATTCCCTATAATAAAAGGAAATAGATGGAAAAAGACAGAAAATAAAATGCACTTATAAAAGTATACACTTTTGAAGCTGGTGATAGGGAACCCAAGGTTGAGTAAGGATATTGTTGATGTGTTGTGAAATTGTTAACCATTGTCATAGGGCAACATGTGTAGTAACTATTAAATGAGAAACTATTTTGTTCTGTAAGCCTTCATCTTAAGTGAGAATAGCAGCACAATTGGAAGAGCGTAGTCAATGTCACTGAACTGTTCATGTAGAAATTTTT